ACTGTTGTAGCCAAAGAATCTATACCTTCTTTAGAAGTCGTTATGTCAGTTGGGCACCAGTGGCTCATGCCTATAATCCTGACTACTCAAAGGGCTGAGATCTGAGGATCATGGTTCAAAGCCAGAGCAATAAGAAAGTCTGTGAGACTCATATGTCCAGTTAACCAACAAAAAGCCACAAGTAGAGCTGTGGCTCAAGTAGTAGAGTGCCAGTTTTGAGCAAAAAAAGGTCAGGGACAGGGCTCAGGTCCTGAGTTGAACCAACAATACTGGCACAAAACAAGGGGTGACATTGCTCAAGATATGTTGCATTCATAAACTGCTTTGTTAATACAACTGCTTAAAAATAATAATAAAAAGAAAAATCTCATCATGTCAGTATTTTCTACATAAGCACTGTTAAGCCATGATACATAGAAGATACAGAATTATGATTACTGGCAGGAAGGCATGCTGGAAAGCAACAGGATAGCTATTGAGGATCTAAAGCCAGGATTGGACACTATACAGGACATGATTTGGTCATCTCACAAGATTAGAAAACAAAAATAAATTACCTAAAAGTATGATATCAATGTTAACTTTACTGGCATTGCTAATTGCAATTTTCTGATAACACTCTTATTATAGTAGCTCTAGTAAGTGGGGAAAAAATACCTAATCCCAGAAACTGATTTTTTGGGGATTGTGGTTATTTGGGAAAGGAAAAAAAGACAGCAAGATCTATAAAGAAACAAAAACCAGACTGTGTAAAGGTTATGCTATCTTTTTGGATATTGTCTATCATTATTTCTCTAAAAAGTAAACCCAGAAGATCATCGAGTATCTGGAGGCTTCTTTTTGTTTTGGTGTTTGATAATCATAAGACAATGCTGAGAGGTAAATGGCTTAAGATCAATTGTTGAAAGAGCTCACTTTACATTGTTCTCAAAATGAGTCTTTAGTTTAATACCGAATTGTGCATAAAAACAACCCAAACCTCTGATAATACTAAGCTCTTTGCAGTATCTTTTGTGTACTTTCTGTTTTTCATTAGGACGTGTAAATAATACAGCTAGTTAATGACAGGTTCCATGTCTTTACTTTCACAAACTCCCTAATTTTTACTAAATGCTGAATAATTGATCTGTTACAGAATTTTGCATTTTTTCCATTCCTTCGTGGCTCAGCCTAAACCTTGTCTTTCTCAGGGCTGACTAGAGGACGGGGCAAAATCTGTCCCCACCTTCCGGTGTGTGTTGAGCTAATAGAACAACTGAGGACACCAAAGTCTGATTTTTATGCCTTCATCTTTCTCACCTCAGGAGAATCTGTAAGAGGCACTCATGTGGGCCAGCATAAAAGATCTAGGGTCCTCAGGCTCCTCTTGACATTTACGGGGTATAAGAAATGCTATTTTAAGACTAAAACCATGGAAGCACAGTAGCTTTAAGAGTCAGACCTCCATAGGCATATTTAAGTTGGGATCTGGCAACACACAACAGACACGTGTTTTCTCAGAAAAAGCATCTTCCTTGTAAGACTATGTGATTTAAACCATGGCCTCTGCCATGAGCTATGTAGAGAGTGTGGCTCCTGGTCTCTCCCTCCCAGCCAGCTTCCTCTGTTCCTTCCTACTATGGCTGTGCCCCCATTGTTGGCTTATTATCACCTTTCTCCCTCTTACTAAACAGTTCTTTTTTTATTTCACTTGATGGTATCCTGAAGCGTAAGCCTTGATAGCCCTGTTTTACTAGCAATCATCCTCTGGTTTTTTCTTTTTGATTGCACAGAGAGTAAAAACAGGCCACTTGTGTTAACCCAGGCCTGGTTATTGCAAGCAGTTACATCGTAGTTGTTGACCTGCTGGTTGATGAACAGGCAATGTGTTGTATACTCTCTTGGGAAATTCCTTTGCGGGGCTGTATGTGACAGATGTGGACAACCCAGTACAAACCACTGGATTCCTCCCCCTCCACTTAGATACTGCCCAACTTTGTTTACTCATGAAGCCCATTGATGAGCCTGGTGCCACATGTAAAGGGGTCTGTGTTATAACTGAAAGTGATCTTGACAGGCAACCAAAGAAGAAATCTGTTTCTAGGAGCATGACACCCTTTGAATGGTTTTCTCCCATGTTGCCTATCCCAGCCATGACTTTGATGCTGGCATGAGGTCCCTGCTGAAGTGATACCTCCTGCTAGGACTTGTTTAAAATCTTAAAACCTTACAAAGTATATCTGGCCAGGCATTGTGCATGGCCGTAAAGGTGTAAAGTGACGAACCAAACAGATGCATCCCCTGCACCGTGAAGTCTGGTCTGTCCAGCAGGCAAAGTGGGTTACTCAAGAACAGCTACACCCGCACAGTGGGGAAAGTGTTCAGGGTATGTGACCACCTACAGGAAGTGACATCCAAGCTCAGATCTGAAGAATAGAAGACCTGCTCTCTCTGAAGATAGGAAAGGACAGGAGGGAGTTTAGTGTCGACAGAAGGAAAACAGCCCAAATCACACTAGTGGGTCATAGAGTCATAGAACATGGGTTCGTCTCTAAGAAGGCTCAGGGTACCCCAGTTGGGGGCTCTTAAGTGACTGTCACTGCCAAGAAACTCAGGTCTTAAAAAGATTCTTAGACATTTTAGGAAGGTATTAATCATAGTTGGATGTTGTCCCCCTTTCTATTTGGCGTTATAGCAAAAATGTGATGTCGCTTCCAAAAAGCCCTAATGGAACTCAGTTTTGCAATACCCGTCCCATGTCCCCTGCCTCCACAACTTCCAACCAGGTCGGAGTGACCTGCTTCCCATCTGTTCCTCCAGTTTGCTTTACCCAGCAGGTTATAGACTTGCTTAGCAGGACAGAGAAATAATGTTCCTGAAGTGTTCTGGAGGCATCTATAGAGAAGAAGGGTCCTGATGGCATGGCCAAGTCACAACTAAACAAAGCACACCATCCTCACAGATCCCTGAAGACTGACTCTGAATACGCAGCCTATTTTGTCATTCCCAACTGAATGATCTTCAAGTCTGTCGAACCTCCTCTTGTATTCTTAAAAATCCGCCCCTCTCTCCTTTGCCAGGTGCTGGTGGCTCACGCCTGTGATCCTAGCTACTCAGGAACCTGAGAACTGAGGATCACTGTTCAAAGCCAGCCCAGGCAGGAAAATTTGAGACTATCTCCAATAAACCACCAGACTGGAAGTGGAGCTGTGGCTCAAAGTGGTAGATCAGTAGCCTGAAGCAAAAAAAAGATCAGGGACAACACCCAGGCCCCGATTTCAAGCCCTGTAACCAACCAAAAATAGAAAAGAAAAAAGATTTCCCCCTTTATAACAGAGAGATAAGTATTTTCAAGGCTTCCGCACTGTTCCTGCTTTCCAAGAGTATGTATGACTAGTATCTGTAACTAATGACTACAGACACCTGAGGGTACGTAATGTGTTTTATAGTCTTCCTGTTGGCTGCATTGTAATTAAGGTATTGGTTGAAACTTGTCATTTCTGTCGTATACTGTCTTTAGAATCCCTGCCCTCTTTTTAATGTGTTGGAAAACCAGGGAGGGGGATAAACTATAAAGTTGGAAACTACATAACCAAGGTTTTATTTGCTTGCTCCTGTATTTATTTTGGTATTTGTATTTCAGAAATGACTAAGGTATGTTCCTTGCCCTCCAAGAACCTTCTAGAAAGACACAGGGTGTGGGACCAGTTGGCAATGTAGTTGGCCAGGAAGAATGTGTAGGAGGATCACTTACATCAGAGAGCTAAGGAAGCCAGAGCTCCCCACTCCCTGCAACTGTGTTCAGAATAAGAGGATCCAGGGCAGTGCCCAGTCATGGCCAGACAGTTCTTAACCCATGAAACACACACACTTCACTGTATATACCCTGTGATTTCTGTCTGTGCTCTGTACTATACAGTGAGTCTCCATGAGCTGAGTACAAAACAGGTAATGTCTCACCTGAACTCAGTGCTTTTTCTTTTTATATATATATATATCCTCATTCATGATACTCAGTGGATCACTTGGTTAAGGTACTGACTCCCAGACTCCCTGATGTAAAAGGGCATGGATGTAAAGGAGTGATAGAGTAATCAATCCCTTGTCACCTAGCAATCTTATTTCCTAAAACTCTCTCACCTGCTGCTTCATGTCCACTGACAAGACTTTGCAGGATCAGCTCCGAGTTTTTAGTTTTGAAAAGCTGTGATTTTTTTCCCCAATTCTAGCATTTCTTCCCTAGTAAATGACAATATTTCTGTATTCTTTCTGTCTCTTTCCCCCCATTATGGCCTGGTGGATATTTATATACCAAGTTCATTTCAAGAAATTTACAGCCATTCTTCCTGATAATGCCAATTGTCCCAGTGTGGCCAGTTGGGAGCCACTTTTAACTGTGTCCTTTCCTTTGATAACACATCCTTGCTTTTTCACACAGAACATCCTAGGCTCATCTGGTACGTTCCCTACCTACCCCTGAAATCAGCCATGTCTCAAGAAGCTCATTTATTACAGAATGACACTTAGAAATCAAGATTTGAGCATCAGAGGTGCTCAGTGCTAAGGAGATGCCTTTGTAACTAGACTCTTTACTGAAGCTACAAAATATGTTGAGTGGGAAAAGAAAAGCATGTTTATTTTTCTGAAATATAAATCTATTCTCTGTTAGAAACTCAGTTGGGATGATTATTTGAGGGTATCTTAAGAGCCTTTCTTCTTAACTATAACAACTGTGAAAACCTTAAGGTTCCTTTATGGCTGTTTCTCTGTCTGGAGGGAAAAGGGACAATTTTATTGTTTGTTTCTTGAGGAAAAAAAAAAGAACTTCCCACAAATGTTGCCCATGGACCCTGTAGTTTAATCATTTGTGTTTCTTTTTAAGTGTATTTATGCTCTGTAATGGGTAGGGATCACTGGATCTCATATACTTCTTGGGAAGCTCTTAATATCATACATTTGCTATACATCTAAAAACCATTTTTTACGTTGCCAGCATTCATCATTTAGTTGGTTGTTTCCAGGTGCAGCTAAATCAAGTCCAGCATCTAAACCGGGATCCACACCTTCTCGTCCCTCTTCTGCCAAAAGGGCTTCATCCAGTGGCTCAGCGTCCAGGTCTGACAAAGATTTAGAAACACAGGTCCTACAGCTTAATGAGCAGGTAAGTCGTTGTCTCCATCCATGTTTCTGTCATCAGTGATGTGTGAGGCACAGAAAGGCAAACCCCTGTAGGTCTGAGACAAAGGTGTGAAGTTGAGGTAAAAATCAGTAGACTGGTGAATAAAAGGTATTAGTCATTAATCTTAAAGCAGTACATCAAGATGGGGCAGATAATTTAGTCTTGCAGCAAGTCTTCAGGCCGTACTCAGCCTTCCCCATGGCTCAGTGGCATCCTGAGCTCCAGTCTAGTTATAACTCATCCTACCCATGCTGGCCAGTCCAAATAATTTTAAAGGGTGCTTTAGGTTAAACTATCTCCCTATCCTTCTCCTTTTCCTAGACTCCCTCCTTTTAGCAACTATTAGTTGAGCCTATTTTATGTGACAGATACTATGCTGAATGCTGGTAATATAATGGTAGCAAGATAGAGACCTTCCTTCCCTTAGAACTTACATCTAACAGTTGAAGTAAAGAGGAGGAAGGAAGGGAAAGAAGAGATAAAAGGGGGGAGAGAAAGAGAGAAAAGGAAGGGAGGGAGGGAGGAGAGAGAGAAGGGAGAAGGAAGAAGAGGGGAGGGAAGAGAGAGAAGGAAAGGGAAGGAAGGAGAGAGACAGAGAATGACAGAGAGAGAGCGTGCAAATGAGCAAGCCAGCCAGCCAGACATTGGACAAAGACTGCAGCTGTGTTGTAAGTCTGTTTTTAATCTAATATAGTAAATGTAGCTTTACTGGCTTTTAACTTCCCAATGTAAAATCATAAGTATTCTAACTAGTAATAGCTAATTTTGTGTAAAAATATATACAGCTGTCTCAAGTGATAGAACACTAGCCTTGAGCAAAAAAGCTCAGGGACAGCACCCAAGCCCTGAGTTCAAGCCCCAGAACCAGTCCCCCCGCCAAAAAAAAGGTATCCACAGCTTACTTACAAGTATTAAAACAGTAGGATTGGGCTGGGAAGATGGCTCAGTGGTAGAGCACTTGCCTTGCATGCTCGAGGCCCTGGGTTCGATTCCTCAGCACCACATAAGCAAAAAGAAAAAAGCTGGAAGTGGCACTGTGGCTCAAGTGGTAGAGCACTAGCCTTGAGCTGAAGAGCTGAGGGACAGCGCTCAGGCCCAGAATTCAGGCCCCATGACCGGACCCAAAAAAAAAAAAAAACAGTAGGATTTGTAGGGACACTGCAGAAGTTCCCCCCGCCATCCCCAGATACCAAGATGTCATTTTGTTTTGTTGTCCTTAAATAGTAGTTCACAGAAGTTGCCATGTAACAAAACAGTTTATGGCTACAATGCATCTTGACCAATGACACCCTTTTTGTCATTCTCTTCTATCCCTCTCAACTTACCCCTTCCCTCAACATTCTTAATGTTGTAGAATATACATTGAATTCTTGACTGCATCTCCCCTCCCCCTCCCCCAACGACTTCTTCTTCCTCTTCTTCTCTACCCTTTCCTTCTTGACCCTACCCCACCCCTTTGAAGTTCCTGCTTCACACCATTTGAGTTCTTTCTTGAATCTGCCATATTTCAGGTAATACATTTGTATACTCTTGCATACCACCCAACATATTTACTTATGTATTTATAACCTAAATCCAGCCTCCACTTAGCAGGGAAAACATGGAACCTTTGTCTGTCTCGGCTAGATTTACTTAACATAAGTTTGTCTTTACAAAATGCCTTGTTAAACCATCCTGATGCTGCTACCAGTCTGTGAAGAACGTGGAATCTAAGCCCTCAGGCTGTTCCCAGCCACTTAGCAGGCCAGTCCCAGTGATTAATCTTCTTTCTGCTGAGTCAGCAAGAGTTTGAAAAGTTCTTCTTTTTAAAAGATAATTGCATATTGCAATCAAGAACCTAGTTTAAAAAGCAGGCAGCTGGTTTCACAAGGGTGTTTCTTTACAATTCCAATCACTTTAATGAAAAAGTTAAAACCTTAAGTCATCTGGCAGGTAGATCTTTGATTTAGAAATGTGAAGTGTTCCAGTTACCTGCTGGTTCTTAGTTTGAGCTCATGGAGAATTTCTAGTAATGACTTCGCTAATGAAAGACAGTAAGGATAGCAGTAATGAGCTTTAGACCACAAGCCTAAGGCTCCAAGAAAGCCATAGTGAACCTAAAGAGAATCTGACATAAGTCCATAACACTTCAGATTTATGCCTACATTCTGCTTTAAAGGCTCAGATCTTTTGATATCATTATACCTCATTTCTTCGTGACTCCTTTCCTCCCTGTCTTCTCCTTCCACCGCACTTAAGTTTCTAACTACCTGGCCTAAATGCTCACTGAATGGAAGCCTTCTTCCCTTGCCCCCTCTCTTTCTTACAGCCTTGACCAACAAGGCTACTTCCTCTCCTTGTAGTCACCTCCTAGCTCCCCATTAGCTCTTCAAATCCAACAGAGTCCTCCATCCCAAGACCTCCAAAGCACCATGATTAAACCATCTTGTCATCCTAATGCTACTCTAGAAAGGCCTTCTTTCCTCTTGTAATTCCTTCATTATTCCCAAGAGGCCCCTCTGCCCCCCACCCCCAGGCCTTGACACAGAGGAGGAAGTACCTGACCCTACTGTGCCTCCCAGGAGGACAGACACACTCAAAACTGGGAATCCGTCCTTCAGCAAGTATCTTCTCCCGATCTGCAATTGCCTTCAAGAGTCTCTCTGAGCCTGAGGGGAGGCCACCCAAGCACCACAGTGTTACAGCTGAGAACACAGGGACAGAAGAGGCCAAGTGAATTACAGTGCTAATAGAGAAAGTGACAAGTGCCATAAACTTTCAGGATTTTCATTTACTTGGCCTCCTTCCTTTATTCAGGCAATCTCCCATGATCTGCTATAAAAGTAACACTAGGCTAGACAATCTCAATAATAGAGATGAATCAAAAGATGTAGGGGAGGAAGACATAAATAAAATAATTAGGGATTCTTTCTGGGCAGTGGGTTAGCCAACAGGAAGTGAGTTAGGGCCAAGACTGTGTGCAGGGACCCCTGATGGGGAGGGAAAATAGGCTTTGGGTAACCCAGGCAGAGAGACTGTGGCTGTCATTCATACATCAAGGCCTGGGAAGACCTGCAGTATGGACACATTGGGAGGAGTTGTGAGCACTGTTGAAAAGGAATATACACGCCATGGTACTATACCCTTGACTTTTCTTACAGATCCATCAGACATCTGCCATGCCATGTGAGAGATGAGGTTGGCCTCAGTCTTTGTGAATAGGGCCATGAAAATGGAATTACATTTTCCAGTTGATCTTTCATCCACTAACCTAGCTGCTGCCAGTTTTTACTAGAGAATGTTTATAGCTGAGTGCCTCTTACCTAACACATCTGGAATACCACCAAAACCCATCTTGGGCTGAGTATTTCTACAAAAACCTCAGCTACTTTCTCATTGCACAAACCAAAGCACTCCCAGAAAGCAGCCAAACCTCAGTTTTGTGGGTTGATAGTATCCTTGGTTGGGTTGGGAGAGTGGTGGTATATCTAACCAACCAGCCACAGATCCATGCGCTGGCACCAGCTCAGGGTAGACATGGATTGTTTGGCTAAGCCAAGAGATGAGGTTTATTGGTTTCAAGCAGAAAAAGGTCTCTAGAAGAGTTTTCTTTTTTTAGGAAATTCAGTTTTATTGCCTTGTGTATTTACAAACATTCATGGTCTCATATTAACAACAAAAATAGTTCAAAGTCAGAGAGGCAGAGATCAAGAGGACCATGGTTGGAGGCTAGTCAGAGCAAATGATTAACCATGCAGGTAGACAGATCGCTCTGACTGGTTAATCAGCAGTTGATAGAAAAGAGTGATTGGCATTCTCCTGAAACTGGACGTTTGGTCAAGTTCAAACAACAGCCTTCTTGATTCTTCCTAAGATTTGCACTTACTTATTTCATCTTCTCTTTTTATGTATTTTAGGTCCTTGTCTACAAGCAATAGGTGATGTCTTATTTCTTATTCTGTATTTGGGGGATTTCTTCTCTACTTTTACTCTCTGCAGGTACATTCATTAAAACTTGCCCTTGAAGGTGTGGAAAAGGAAAGAGATTTCTACTTTGGGAAGTTGAGAGAGATTGAGCTGCTCTGCCAAGAACATGGGCAGGAAAATGATGACCTTGTGCAGCGACTAATGGAAGTGCTCTATGCTTCAGATGAACAGGTAAGTGTGTGGAGCCATTGGCTCCAGAATTCTAAAACAACTCTTCATCCAAGTGCAGTGGATCCATGCGCTAAGGCTCCCTGGTTCCCTTGGGCTTCAGAACTACAGCTGAATCAATACATTCGACATTCCCAGAGGAATAAACATTGCCATCACCATCATCGTCTGTTCACCCAGTTCTGTGGGACATGTATCCATAAATCAGCCTGGAAAGAGATCGGTAGAGGTAAGGGCTTTACCTGAGAAAGGACAATCCAACCTCAAGTAGTTTTTAACTCTGTGAGCAAATAAGCAGTGAGAATTTCTATAAGAACTCTTCTTTCTTCTGATCTTTCAGTGAGGCTGATTGAAAGAGAAATAATCAAGATACTCATAGCCAGGACAGACCAGCACTGTGGGACAGCCCTGGGTAGAAGGCTTCTTTCATGGGGAGAACTTGACACATTTGCTGCTCGTGAGCAAATGAGCTGAGAGCAACTCAGCATGTGTCTGTGTGGGGCAATGAAAAGCAGATGTGAGGAGCAGGGAATGAACCCAAGAGGAAAGTGGGAGGGATAAATAGTAGAAACTGGGGCAAATCATACCAGTCTGCCTGTGCAGGAACAGAAAGGCCTAACACCCAAAGAAGCAAGAACCTCACCTTCTACAGATTTGAGTGGTGAAAGGCAAGAGCCACAGGCTAGGGTTCAAAGCTGAAGTGTTTAGGTCCATCTGACCAGGATGCCAGTGGTGCTTAGACAGTGCTGTGGTGGAGTTGCACAGGGCTTAATATTTCTATTGAAGTAATGAGCCACTGGCAAGCTTACTGTCTCTTCTTCCAGCAGAATGCCAGGCCAGTATTTACTTGATTTATGTCTTAACATGATAGCAGTGAAGCTTTCCTAAGCAATAAGGAACTGTGTCTGAGGTTTGGAAGCTCTTCCTTAGTCACTTTTTGTCTTGCCCTTAGTATTTTTTTAGAGTTCTTTCTTGATTACCAGTAGGTCAGAATGTAGATTTGGAAGCCCCTAGGAGTTGGCCTAGTGAAGTCTCAGAAGCCGTTGTGGCTTCCAGTAATGTTAGATCTGATGCTAAAAGAGGTGGCTGCTGTGTAGTGTCTGTGACAGTGAATTACACAACGTTCTGTACATACGAAGTGTTTTGCTGTCTTTTGAGCACAGAGTAATTATGGTTATTGCCTTCCAAAACTTGATTTCCCTAAATTGAATGAGGTCTACACGGCCATGGGAGGCATCACTGACCAAGCTGTGTTAATACATGCCAGCCGGAGCAAGGCCAGCACACAGGCCCACAATGGCTTCCCAGCCTTGCTCTTGCAGCAGGATGGAAAACTCTCGTCCCAAGAAGGCGACCTTGTGCTGGAGTACCTCCAGATAAACTCCAATTGAAGAGTAGTGGCAGGTCTATGAATTCCTGCAGAAGGCTAGATAGATAGGCTAGCCAGCCTCTAGCAAGAGCGCTGGCCTCCCTGGTGTGTCTTCAGGGGTCTCTGCCTAGATGTCCATACTTGGCTTTGTTCAGCCATTTCCATCACACTGTCCAACCTTAACACCCCTAGCTGCCCACAGAGCTGCTCTTGCAGTACATGCACAGCCACAGTGCAGATGCCTGCCCAGGAGCAGTCATGCTTGGAAGCCTCATTAGTCATAAGACTGAATGAGTTTATCAGGTCCTTTCTCAGTCACTTTGGATGAAACTAGACTGGGAGGAACCTGGGGCTATGGGTGTATTCACTTATTAGCTCCTCCTGTGCTCTTGAGAATTCTAGTAGGTATTTGTTATTGTTGTCCAATTTTACAGATGAACAGAAACTAAGAGAGGTTAAATATCTTTCCCAAAATCTTTGACAACTAGTCTGTATCCTGGGTTCATGCTGTCCCTTCTCCAGACCTGACCACATATGGCTTTTGGGAGGTACTTTTTGGTTGGGGTTTAGGGGAGGGGTGCTAGGAATGGAACCCAGAGCCTTGTGCATGCTAACAATATACTCACCTTCCGCCTGTGAGCCAACTTTTAAACAAGATGAGGATAGTAATGGCTAGTATTTATTGAACATTTAGTATATTCTAGATAAAGCATTCTTGTATAGTGAACATTTTGTTGGCAGTACCGAGATCTGAAAATCAAAGCCTTATACTTGCTAAAGAGGTATTCTACCACTTCAGCTACTCTGCCAGTCCTTTTTGTATTGGTTATGTTCATGATAGGGTGTCATTTTATGCCCAAACCAGACTGGACTGTGATCCTTCCTGTTGTCTGTCACTGGCATGTCAGGTACATGCTACCATACCCAGCTATTGTTTTACCCCTGTAGCGAGGATACCAGCCCTTAGTTGAAGTGGATTCTTACAAACTTCTTTGCCTAGACTGACCTCAAACCGTGATCCACTAATCTACTCCTTCCAAGTAGGTAGATGGCTGGATCCACCACATTCAGCTTCTGTGTTCATTTCTCACCCTAATCATATCCCTACACAGTGAGTGATGTTCCTTTTCTACATTTACAGATAAAATGACTCTCACAACAATGCATGGTTAATAAACCACCATTGTGGTTTGATCCCAGGTTTATTGACTTCAGGCCCCAAATCTCCAGCACTGTGTTACCTCCCTCCTAGCATATTAGGTGTCAGGGGGCAGGGAAAAAAATAAAGAAGACATGTAGATAGATGCTTTTCTTGGAAGTCTTTAGCTGAATATGCTCGTTGTGTGAAGAAGTTAATGCCAATCAAATGCCTACCTGGATTTTCCTCAGATCACTCCCTCGTTTTATTTTGTTGATTTATACCTACAAATGTCTTAGCATGGCCTCATCTACCTTGGCATTCACCTAGTTGAGTCAGCATCTGTTTTCTGCTAGCTAGTTGGTATATTTTCTAAAGCCAGTTTTATTGTCACTCCTGGGACTGTGCCACTTTGAGCCTTCACATCTGCCTTCCTTCTCGAAGATCGTGAGCCTTGTTTCTGGGGCAGCCTCCAAGCTCTGCACTGGAGAGGGAGCCTTAGAGAACTGCCAGCCCTGTCCACCACCTCTTTTGTCTCATGGTCTGGAAAGGCATCACTTTTGAGAACATACTCAGTGGCTACAGTGCCACACACAATCCCATGCCCAGCTCTCTAAATCCTCCTTTGTTTCCATGGCACTTGGTCCTGACCCTGTGACCCTATATCCTGTTTTCAGGACATTTCCACACTGAATGGTGAGCCTGCACTCACGTGTGAGTCTCATATGCATGGGATCCAGAAAAAAATATATCGCTAGTTTGTTCATTATGCTGTTGGTATGACTGTGTATACAAGTCTGAGATGGCAAATGTTTCTAGACATCTGCCTTTCCCAGAACGCTCCTGGGAATAGCAGAACTACTGGAGAATAAGAGGATAGATTTTCATGGTTGCAATTCAGTTAAAGTACATGACATACCAGGTATGTCACTTACAGGCCATGTACCATGTGTGTCATGTGCATCATGTATGTCATGTGTTGTACATGTCATGTATATATGTCATGTATATCATGTGGATTGTGTGTGCCACACATCGTATGTATCATGTATGTAATGTGTGCCAGGTGTATCAAATATGTCATTTGTGTCATGCCGTGCAGTGTGTCATGTGCACCACATTATGTGGCACAGGTTGCACGTGTGTCATGCCATGCACATCACATGTCATGCATGTCATCTGTATCATGAATGTCATGTGCCGTGGCATCAATTATGTCATGTGTTATGCTATGTGTCATGTATGTCATAAGCTATTCATGTCATGTGCGACATAGGAAATGACCTTTGTGCCTTGTCATAAAGTTGTGTGTCATGTCATTTGTGTCATATGTCATGCATGTCCTTTATGGTATGTGTGCTGTGTATATCATGTATAACACTTATGCCCTGTGTGTTGTGCATGTCACGTGCATGCATATAATATGCATGTTGTATGTGACATGCATGTCATATGTGTTATGTGCCATAGATGTGAATTATGTCATGTCATTGACATTGTGCACGCCATGCCATGTGTGTTGTATCATACACATTTATGCCATGTCTCACTTATATAATTAACGTTATATGTCATAAGTGACACTTATTTGTGTCAGACATGTCACTCATGTGTAATGCATATCATGTGTCATGTGCCATGTAATTTGTCATGTCATGTATGCTATGTGTAACGTGTGTCCTTTACATCATGTATGTCATTGTGACACATATGCCATGTGCCATGTAGGTCAATTATGTCATGTGTGTCTTATGTCAGGTGTCACATATATGTCATGTTGTGTGTGTTCTGTATGCTGTGTACCATGTCATGTGTTATGTGCATGACACAGTTGATATACCTAACACATGTGATATAAATGACATACACGACACAAATGACATGTATGGCACACTTGACACATTATATACAAACATGACACCTATGATATAAACACCATGCATGACAAACCAAATACATGAGATGTATGACACAAATGACACATGTGTCATTGAAATATATAATATACCTGGCGCATGACATGTTTGACACGTGACACATGACATTGATGGCACATATGACAAATGACATGCATGACATGACACAAAAGACAAGTATATGGCATAAGTGACACAAATGTCATGCGTGACAACATGATGTGGATGACTTGCACAACACATGACATGATGAATGAAATAACATGACATAATTGACATGCATGGTGCATGATGTGTGACACGTGTGAATGACATCTGTGGCACATGTGACACATATGATATGCATGTCATATGTGTGGTAAACCTGACATTCATGATGCATGACATGTATGACACATAGTGCAGATGGCATGACATGCATGACACATGGCGCAATTGTCATGCATGCATGGCAGGTGACATGTATGGCACTTATGAGATACATGTAGCGTGACACATGGCATGTGTGACATATATGACGTGTGGCATGTGTGACATATAACACGTGGTGTGCATGACACCTGTGACACATGCAGCAGTATAGGATGTGTGACACAAATGAAATGCGTGACATGTGACACGTGATACATATGGCATGTGACATAAATGACATGCATGAGGCTGAGTGTCCTCCTGTGTTTAAGAAGCAGGAGCCATTGCGCTTCTGTGAAGACCTCCTCCTCCATCTTTTGACCCCATTTCTCTCCTGCAATAGCCACAGTCCTTCAGTACTGTCTTCTACCTTGCTTATCTTTTTATTGATTTCCATGAGAATAAAGAGTTATAACATCCCTCAGCACTGAGCATTTAGAGAGATGTAATGGGTTGATATGGAAATACTAAAATTAACCAGCTGGTACTTCAATGCATCCATGCCACCTTCAGCATAAATTTCCCTTGGCCTCCTACCTACATGTGAGCTTAATTTCTTCATTCTCACATTGTCTGTGAAAAAAAAAAAAGATTTTTTTTTTCCTTGAAAATCTACAATGGCATTGTATGGGCTAGGAACTCTCAGCTGTGATGTGTAACATGTCAGAATTTCAGGTATGTTTTCCCAGACTTTCTGACTGCTTTATCTTGCACCCATGCATTAACATCGCCTTGATAACTTGGGAGACTTGTTTCTTTAAGTCAGCATTGCTCAGGTCTGCATTTCTGAAGTTAGGTGACATCAATTGCATTTTCCTCTATCTGGGATTTTAGCTCACTGTGTGAGGCTACTGTCCTAAGCCAGTGGAGGCCACAGAGACTCCACTTGTTCAACATGAGGAAGACCCACCCCTTGTTCATCATGGGGAAGGGTCTCATCTAATAGATTCCTGACCCTACAGCTTGTTACAGGCTCAACAATTACTTGAATCTGGGTCTTTCAACTCTCAGTTATGGGTTAACTCTATTGTCCTATAGTTAACTCCTAGCTTGGATGAGATTCTTTGCAAAATGTAAAACAGATCCCACTTCTGAGACTTTCCCATCAGTCTAACATGTACATAAACAATTATGTAAGAAAGCACAGTTCGGGCCAGCTGAGGGCTGAGGGGAAATACGGAAGACATCACCCTATACTGAAGAGTTAGGGTAATAAATAAAACAACTTTGTCCCACTGGGGGCCTGGAACCTGGCTAAAGAAGTTGTAAAGCCATACAGTAAGGAATGCACCCAGGGGCTACTGTATACTGTGTCTCAGAAGCAAAAATGGGGACAAAGGCTGCAAAACTTAGAGGAACTGTTCATATCCAGAGGAAGCAGAGGCTTCATGGAAGAACCATGCTTTCCTATGAAATGGTCATTGTTTTCATTCCTCTAAACAGAGGGAGAACACCTGCTTTTATGGAGGCCAGTGCCTGTTTCTCGGCTAACGTTACCACGGAGTGAAATGCCCTCTTAATCCTCATCAGAGTGTCACTGTCAGCTGAAGTGCTAGCTTCCTGAGCTAAGGTGACGGCTCTCACATACGCCAAGCAATGGGCCAAACAGCTAGCAGAGGATACTGCTAAGTGTGCAACCTGGGGTACCCAGGACCCAGAGAGCCTGAGGCCAGAGAACATCTGAAGTAGGAATGTAAGGGTCAGACAGACAGCAGGAAGTGGTCAGAGAAGGTAAACCTTAACCTTTCAAGGTGGAGCAGCCCTATGAGGTAATAATATGATGTAGTTATGAATATGAGGGGATCACACAATTTCCAAATAATTGGCACAAAATCAGTAAGAGATAGTGCTTGATTTGATCTCAGGTCTTTCAGACAATGTCACTTTCTACTTTGAGTTGTCACAGAGTTACTTTGTTATTATTTATACTTCTGGAAAAAATATGCTAAAGAGTTCTTCCAGTAGAATCATAATCACAACTTACCTTTAATAGTTACTATATGCCAAAATTCCTTCTAGGTATTTTATTGGTTTTTTTAAACTCATTAATTTCTGTATTCATCAGTCAGTTAATCACACTGAAAACCTTATTATATAGATATTCTTACTGTCCCTCATTTTACAGACAAAAACAGTGAGGGCATGGAGCAGTTACATTACATGCCCTGACTCTCACAGTTTAAAAATAACAAAGCTGGGACTCCAAAGTCCATGCACGCAGCCTTGACATACTACCTCTCAGAAAATACTCATCTTGTGACCTTGACTAATAGTCTGATAGTCTTTGTCATCCATTCTGAGTCCTCCATGGATTCTTCCTCTTGACACATCATGTTGAATCTATAGAGGGAAGAAAAATGAGACCGAGTTGAAGAAAGCTCTGGTCCTGCCTCAAGAACCTCAGAATCCTGTAGCTAAAGCCAAAGATTGCAAACAAGATTCCAAGTCAGTTTTATAGTACAATAAAGTATAGAATGCTACGGAAGGAGAACAGGTGTGGGTCTGGATCATACCTGTCTAGGATGAGATCTTGACAGCTTTGCCCTGGGCTACAGGTACTAGGAACTTGTTAGAAAGGGAATAGGTTTAAGCAGGTCAGGAGTCTGTGTGATGGGATCTGAGCCCTTCTCTGTGCCAGTTTACATGCCATACTGCATCCCAAAACCCTGTGTCATTACAGGAGGGACAATTAGCTGCACTGGTAATAAGTTAACTTTGCCTCTAGGTTAAAATGAAAGAACTAGCTGGACACTGGCGAGTCATGCCTGTATGTAATCTTAGCTACTCAGGAGACTGAGATCTGAGGATAATAGTTTGAATAGTTTGAAGCCAGCCTAGACAGAAAAGTCTGTGGAGGTGCAGCTCAAGTGGTAGAGTATCAACCTTGAACAAAAAAAAAAAAAAAAAAAAAGCCAAGCAAGAATAACAAGACATTAATTAAGTTTAAGAAAAACAGAAAAAAGGAAGGAAAGAAAGAAGGAAGGGGGAGAGAGAGAGGAAGACAGGAAGGAAGGAGAGGGAGGAAGACATGAAAGGAGAAGGGAAAAAGGAGAGAAAGAGATGGGAGAGAGAAAGGAAAGGAAGGAGGGTGGTAGGAAGGAAAAGAGGGAGGGAGAACAGAGAGGAAGGAAGGCAAGGAGGAAAAGGGGAGGGGGAGAAGGAAAAAGAGAAAGAAGAGAGAAAAAGTGAGAAAAGTTGCAGCTATAAATATACTTAACTGGGTTAGGCAAGTAATAATTAGGACATTTGGAACCAAATAGAGCTACCACACCTGCTTAGAGTCTACAAGCAGACAATAAGAAAATAGAGCCTGAAACATCCTAAACAGATGTCCCAAAACTTTGAGCCACAGCCTGAGTTCTGTGCCAAGAAGGCTCTCCTTCATGAGGACAGCCCATGAATATGGCTATTAGCCTTTCCTTCAGAAACTAACAGGTGGTTTCCCAGGTATCTAAACCCACCTGAGATTGGTACAGAAAAACCCTGCTTTAGGCAGACAGCACCAATGCATGGATGACCACAGTGGAGGAAATAGAAAACAGATCAGAAAAACCACATGGTGGGCTGTTCATGTAGGGATAGTCACCCAGCACATACAGCAGCCTAGACTTGTGTGGTAGGGCTCAGCTTATTTATTTGTGGTTATCACAATGCTGTGGAATCATGTTTGGACTGTTTAACTTTTTGCAGAAGACAGGCAAGTATGGAATATGTTCTATGAAGATATCCTTCCAAAACAATTGGAAAAAATAAGTTTGGTGCTTATTGTGTGATAACTGTTGTTTGCAGAATGATCATTTGATGGCACATGGATGCGAAGGCATCCCTGCGTGCATTAGTCACTAGTAGGAGGGAAATCATTGCAGGGTAAGTCCTGACTAAGCCTGATTCTGTCCACAGACGAGATGCCATGCTACCCAGGGATCATAAGCTGGGACTCCCATGGGGCCTCAGATACAGATACAGTAAATTATTTCAACTGAAACTTCTCCCTTGCCCCACAGGAGGGCCACACAGAAGAGGCAGAAGCAGAGGAGCAAGCCCATGACCAGCAGCCCCAGCAGCAAGAAGAGTACTGAACTGTCTCAGCAGCTCTTGGCACTTCCATTGTGCATGGGAACTTTCTTCTGGAGAATTGGAACATGTGTGGCCTCAAGCTCAGCAAAACACCAACTGTTCCCAATCTGCTGTTATCATCAACGCACCATTGCATACGCCAGCCACTGCTCTTGGTTCCCACCTCCTTTGCCAAGATGCATTTGTAGGTGGCCATTTGAGTCACCTACCTGAGAAAGTGTAGTGTTACATACCTTCAGCATCACCACTTGGCTGCTTGAGATTGGTTCTGCTCTCTCCCTTCCCCAGCCCTCCCACCCCCCACCTGTTTCTTTCCAGAACAACTCTTCCCTACCCCAACACCACTACCACTTCCACCCCTTTTTATCTTGGTGTGAAACAATGGTAATTTGGTATATGGTATTTATATTGGCATTTCTTAACCCAGTGTCACTAGATGTCACATGCATTTGTGGTGCTTTGATGTTTGCAAGTTTTAACCTCTGATCATCAATTTGGTCAAGTAATGAATTGGAACAAAGGGAAACAGATACTTGATATGAAAGCCATAACGATAGTGACTTGTGTCATGGGGGGGGGGGGGGGGAACAAGTCAGTTTCTCCCTCTCTTCACAACAGGAAAGGGAAAGAAATGGATTCAACAGTAGGACTTCAGGGCCCAGCAGTATTTCATAGAGCAGCATGTTAAACAACCACACAGTATGTTGTTAGTTTCAAAAGACATTCACTTGAGGAAAAACACCATCTCAGCTTTGCCCTTTCTCCTCATGCCCCTGCTCTCCCACCCCTGTTCCCAGGTTCTCATGGTGTTTTCTTTCTCAGGGTCCTCTTTGGTGGGCATCCATGAACTCCAAGATGTTGTTATCAGCTATCTGCAATCCAAAGGGGGTCTTGATAGGTGCAGGCCCTCCTGCCTCATCCCTCGTCCTTGTGTGGTTTCCGCCCCCTCCTCCCCCTCCCCGGCCTGCCATGCTTACTGGGGAATTCCTACTAAAGGGTAATGTGGGCCTGCAGCCTGAGCTGCAGGGCCCTGCGCGGTGTTACCCTCTGGTTGGAGGCTGGCAGTGAGGATTCATGGGAGCAAAATTCCCAGAGAATTTTGCGGTCTGGTATTGACCGGGAGAACAGCAATGGAACACCTTTGCCTCCTGGGATCTTCTAGATAAAGAGGAGTCTCCCCTCTTCCAACATAAGGGCCTACGTAGTCACTGACATTTGCTCAACCATGGAAATTGATAATAGAGGAAACATCTATTGATGAGTTTAAAGCATTCCTTATAACTAATAGTTGCACATTTTTCTTAGTCTTTTTCCAAATCTCTGCCTTTCTCTCCCCACCTTTTGACAGATGGTATCTCTTCCCAGATCATGCATTTTGCTTGGTTTCCAACATTAAGTTTACCTCCCCCTCCATATTCGACTTAGCAGGTGCAACAAAAACAGAAACAAATGTGCCCACCCCACTTTCCACCTAAGTGAAAAAGCTTAAAATAAATTTATGAAATATGCATCATAAAAGCTTCGAAATCTCTTTATTAATCGATGAAACACTTGATTCTCAACTCTAGCATTGAAGCTTGGCACCAAAAGAACTCTTTTTCCAAAATAAATCTTCCGCAGCAAAGTGGTATTTATTGAGTTACATGTGGAAAAGATGGTTTGTATATTCTGAGATTCTTACAACACACTGTGCAGACTTGGACAGATAGATGTTCCATGGGGTTTGACTTCCCTTTCTTCTCTCTCCTGCTCACTCTGCACGGCAGCAGCAGCTCATTTCTCTCAGGCTGAAAAGCCTGGCTCCCAGCAGTGACATCCTCCAACGCCTGGTTACAGGTAATGGCTGTGCTATACATAGCACCATGCTTACCAGTGTGTCACCCTGCTGAAGCTGTTGTACTCACCTTATTTTAAAATAGCTCTTGTAAAGAGGCACAATAACTAACTCCCCACAGATACTTCAGTGGTTCCTAGGCCATTCTTCGCCTGCCCTGGGCATCTCAGTAATGTCCAGTACCCAGTAGCTCATAGCTACACTTCTGTCATGTGAATGCACATGAGTGGGTATCAGGGAGTCAGGATCATGTGTTCTTTTATGCCACTTGATATATTTAATTTGCATAAGGCTCCCTGGTGACTCTGGCTGGAACCACTGTGTTCTTTAACATCTCAGCTTTCCCATATGGAAAAAGGCTGACCTGCAAAAGGGAGCTTCCCCAGCCTCCCCATTCCATTCTCCTTCCCAGTGGCTTGGAGGAGACTCTATTCGTGTAAAGAAGAGCTGCATATTTTTCTTCCTATCCCATCATAAACATCTCCTGTGGTGCTGTGCCTCAGTTGATGTCATGAATGCTTTGGAGTATCTTTAACAGCTGGGTTTCAGAGTCCAATAGCTTCTGCCTGTGTACCCACCACTTATCACCCAGAGATGGTGGTACCCCATTGTTCTATCATCTTGGTACTCAGAGCACACATTCTTCATGCCTCAACTTCACTCACATGCCACTGTTCTGGGCATGTGAGTGAAGGCACTTCCTTCCCTCTGAGAAAGTTGGGTTTCCGTTAGTGCCCTACACACTCACTGTTGGCTGGTTATAGCACTTTCATTGCCACGGTCAGACTGGAAGTGATTGAAGCAGGGGGCAAAGAGAAAGTCCATGTTCATTCTGAGCAGAAAAGCAGGAACAAAAGATAAAATACTTGTTGACCCGAGAGAAGTAAACTCCAGAAGGGAACCAAGAATTCCTTCCTTCCCTGGTGAGTATTTCCATTATTCCGTTAAGGTTTAATATGCATTCAGATTACTTTTACTAAATAGTACACCATAAAGCTTTTGTTATATATTAAATGTAAACTGAAAGGAATGTAAACATATGTATTGTTAATTATAAATATAGATAAGTAATGGCATAATAGAAGAAAGGGTCTTATTCAGATGTATGACATCCATTCCACATTACCCACCTCTTGTCGCATGGTAGAATAGTTTTTTGTCTCTGAATATGTGAATAACTTGACTTGCGTTGATCTTTTTACATATTTAATAAAAAAAAAAGTATATGTTAAAGTCTGTCTGGATTTATTGAGTCTTACAGTTTTTATTTTTTATGCTAAAATTTCCCTTCTCAGTGACCGTGGGTGTGATAGGAGGCTTGCATATGCACTCACATTGCCCACATTTTGTTATAATTTATTTGCACAAGGAAGGGGAATGTCTTTGTATTTATTGATAACTGGTGTTTTAACAGGAATTACAACTTTGGATTTGATAACAAATGTAACAGCTGTAATATCTTTAGAAATACTTTACCAGAAAAAAATAGTAATAAAGATAAAACATTCCCCTGGGAAACATTTCACTTGCAAGCAAATAAAATCACAGCTTTTGCAGGTCCAGCCCACTCCATCTGGACAAAACGAAGCTGGGAAAATAGAGACTGTGGAAGCAGCAGGCAGATGTTTCTATAGAAAGCTGACTGAGTGGCAGAAGCTCTGAAATAAGCCTGCTTTGTTTTCTTGGGTTTAAATAGTGATTTATTGGCATGCTCTATAAATGGCATACAACACACAGGGACTAGAATGATTCAGAATCAATTATGAAAATTGCTCATATACCACCAGAGGACACTGTACAAGCGGTGACTCCCCTATAGACTTGACCCTGCAGCCTGTAACTCTGGGGCCATGACCCTTTTCACCCTGAAGGGTATCAGCTTTCAGCCTTCTGTAAACTGCTTTCACCACCTGGTGACCAGTTGTGTTTTATTCTATCCTTTGACAACTTTTCCAGTCACTTGTCTCTCAAGAGAAATGAGGAAAATAATCAGGGGCAAGCCCACTACTACTCTTACATCCTTTTCCCCCAAGGTGTGTCAGTGGAAGAGTCTGCAGGCCATTGCATAGGTCATGAAATTGCATGCTCAAAGCACGTGTGTGTTTCCCATTTAATTCATTAACACTGGAGTAAACACTCAAAGCCTTACAAGTAGACTTTCAACACTATAGGCAAAAATACATATAATTTATTTCAATTTAAAAGTGCTGATGAACACTAGTAAGGCTATTACCAATGGTTCAGATGTGGTAAAATGAGACTTGTGCCATTTATTATTATTATTATTATTGTATACAAATCAAGAATTCTGCTACTGGAAGCTTGTGAGTCCAGATAATAATAGTTAATAATAGTTCATGGAATAGTTATCCTGTTATATTAATATACTTACATTAATTACATTCTATTAACAAATAATAGAATCGCACTTGATTTTAGTTATAAATGCCAGTTCTCTAACACTAAATACATTCAGCTAATTCTTCCTTCTAACTATGAAAATACATAGTTATTTTCATAGTGGCCATGGTGGCTTCTACAACTAGTAAACATTACTGACCCAGTTTCCAGCACCAAGGCAATGCTACGCAACAGCACAAGTGCTGGATCAGAGCCTCTCTCTGGATGCCCAACAGCTCCTGAACTTATGAAAGATGTTTATTCATTACAAGAGCTCTGGCTGGATGAGCTTAGAGGGAAGTAAAGCCAAAAGACAATCCATTGGTGCCTGGAAGATCCCCATCAGTCTATGACCCAACCATTATCTGTGCAGACAGAGCATCCTCAAAATGTGCATGGAACCTGCCTCGAAGGCTTGGAGTGTGAGTGGAGCGGAAGCCCAGCCAACGTGAATTTGTCCAGCCTTTCTCTCTTCACTGAAAGAAAATGTGAAACCTTTTCAGCTTGCCAAATTTGAATTTCTTTAACAGGTTTCTTGTGGTATTTTGTAACTCCTTTATCAAGTCTGGGTGCAAAATACGTGTCTTTAAAGGGTAAAAACACATTAATGTTCCCTTCAATGTACGATGTTCAGTGAGAACTAGCCTAGTACTTTCATGTGTTCTTTTCCAGACAATAAAAAGGTTAAGTACACACTTCCTCCTGAGCAACAAATGTTAGGCCTTCATAACCTGGAATGAGGACGCCTCACCATTGTTCACAGGGGAGCTGTGCCCGTAGGCCTTTCTGCCCGTGGTTAACACACACACACACCCTCCACCTTTGCACTGGGCTCCACTGGTGCCCTGTTGCTAAGTTTTCCTTCTGAAGGAAAGGAGAGAATGGAAAGTATGCTAACATTCCCAGTATCCTTCAAGTTCCTGTTTGAAAATAGCCCAGAAGAGCCCCAGCCGCATAGTGGAGCTCAAACACAGCCCTACAAGGACAGCCATCAGAAAATGCGGTCGTTGGAGGCAGCAACTGCCCTTGAAGGACCGGAAAGGTGAGAAGGAAGGCCTTGTGTGGGAAGTTGAAGGCCCCCTGAAGGGGCGAGGCAGAAACCACGAGAGGACATTACAAAGACGGCACTGGCCATGTTTCCCCCATTCATGTTATTCCTCTGGAGAGTCCAGGCCTTGGAATTGGTTCCTGCTTCACAGAAGTGCTGCTCATTCATAGGCACATCTTGACGGAACAAATTTTGTCTGTTCAAGTGTCTACTCAGCCATCAAGTAAGGCAAGTCAATTGTCTCCCAAATGAGAGGTGGGAGGGAAAAGTTACCATCCATACCATCCCTTGAAATCTAAAACAGATTTGAGAATGCTGCTGACTCTACCTAAGAAATACCTAAAACAAAACCATAAGCTAAAATGTAATAAAATAGGTGGGAGCTGGGAAGAATGGTTTTATTTATATGCCCTCTAATATAATTTGTTTGTGAAAGTTGAGCACTGACTATGGGTGAAGCATTGGAGTCAAAAGCAATTCTTCCTAAAATAGCATATCTCCATCCAAAAGTTACCATTGTGGACACTTACACATAGAGACATATTTAATCCATTCAGTTTAGGTACCTGCTTAGTCCTGCCTTCCCCCAAAATAAAAATGAACAGAAGACATTGGTATTGGGTTTTGTTTGTTTTTGTTTTTGTTTTTGCTGGTCCTGGGGCTTGAACTCAGGGTCTGGGTATTGTCCCTGAGGTTTTTGTGCTCAATGCTAGCAGTCTACCATTGAGCCACAGTTCCACTTTGTATTTTTTTAAGGAATATTATACATAAGTAAAAAAATCAGAGAAAAGAGGTGGAATGGAGGGAAAAGGATAATGAAGAAGGAAGGGAAGGAAAGAGAAAGGAGAAAAAGGGAGAGAAAGAAGATTAAGCCAGAGATGAAATAAATAGTTCCATCTTCTAGACTCTTCTAAAACTAAAGGGAACAAAATTACCATGAGCTGGTTCCATATCTTAGCTAGGGTGAATGATGCTGCAATAAACGTAATTGTGCTGGTAGCTTTGGGATGGCCTTGTTTTTTATCACTCATAGATGAATGGATCAAGAAAATGTGATATATATATATATATATATATATATATATATATATATATACACACATACATGTATATATATATATATGTGTGTGCATATATATATATATATATATATATATATATATGAATTCTATGCCTCCATCAGAAAGAATGACACTGCCCCATTTGTAAGGAAATGGAAAGACTTGGGAAAAATCATATTAAGTGAAGTAAGCTAGACCCAAAGAAACATAGGTCTCATGATTTCCCTTATTTGCAATAATTAGTATACATCTAGGATAATCTTAGCAGATGAGCAGAATAGCTCAATAGCTATGTACACATGACCATATAAGATGATGCTAAGCCAAATGAACTCCAAGACATGGATACAAGAGGTTTTTCTTTGTTGTTGTTGTTAATGTACTATGTGATTTTGTTTCTTCTGTATGTTCTTCCCCCATGGTATATCCCCTGTTGTTACTGTATTTGATTTTGGTACCTGGGTATTGTACATATGTTTATTTGAATTAGGGAAGGGAAGGGAACAACAGAATGATGAGACAAAGGACAAGGGGGAACCAATGCAACAGTGACATACACAAGACAACATGTTTGGAAACTATATAACTTGGGGGGTTGGGGAGGGAAAGTAGGAGAAAATTAAGGAAAGGAGTAACAAGGTTGACAAGCAGTGTACTCATTGCCTTATTTATATAACTGTAGCCCCTCTGTACATCACCTTGACCAAAAAAAAAGTACATGCAAAACTAAATTACCTGAGCTTCCTAGTAGCCAACACAGCAGGCGGAAGCCATCACTCAGTTTAAAGTGTCTGTCAGATGAAAGCAAACCAGTTACTTAGGAGTTCAGACACTTAGCCTGAGAGAAATTCCTCAGGCTAGACTCCTAGAATGATGAGGAATCCTGGCTTTCACAGCATCACACAATCTTAGAGTGGTGTTCTAATAGCCCTGCTTCCAGCTTTTCCTACAATGTTATGCCAAGACACCGTTGATGTAAAAAATAAAAATAAAAAAAACAGTCTAGCAGGGACCAAAACAACATGAAACAGCTGGTGGGAGCCCACTGCATCCTAGGATCAAGGTGGCATAATAAAGGCCCAGTAGAAGGACCAGTCCTACTGCTAGCTGCTTGCCCTGTTAGTTCAGGTAAATACACATAGTCAAGGTGTGACCTTATATGGCCTGGCTAGTACTAGAGGGCAGGCACTGAATGCTGCTGGTTAAGTCATAATCTTTTCCCAAGCACTCTGCTAACCTAGGGGGTGAGACTGCTCTAAGGCTGAAGGCTGAAGAGGAACCTGGCAGACAGACTACCCCCACTTCATGGGGACCTGAGGAAGGCAGGCCTAGGGCACAGCTTTCCCCCAGAAGCAGGAAGCAAAGAGAAAACTAATATGAGTTTGGTTTTACTTTATTGATGTTTCAATCAGGGAAGTGTTCAGTGTAGTTTTTACTCCTATATCTCTCAAGCGGCTAGAGACATAGCAACATGGTGGTAGAGCATTTTCCTAACATGTACAAAGGCCCTGGGTTCAATCCTTAGCACCACACATGCAGCAAAATTGAGCCTGGAGACGCTGCTGTGTTTTCCAAGTCAAAATATAAATCTGGGAAGGGTGCTGGTGGCTATAATCCTAGCTACTCAGGAGGCTGAGACTTGAGGATTGCAGTTTGGAGCCAGCTCAGGCAAGAAAGACCATGAGACTTTTATCTCCAAGTAACTACCAAAAAACCTGAAATGGAGC